CAGGTGTGTCAAGTTGACAACTGAAGCTATCCAACACAATTGACCTCTTGCCAATTTGACACACAAACCCTTCATTATTAAACTACACCCTTTCCATTTCTTGTCCCCAAGATATGATGTTAACAATATCACAACATCAGACAGTACAACCTTAAAAGTTCCACAGTCCTTGAAAAATCCAGATTTAAAAGTCCATAGTCTCTTTTAAAAGTCTCTTAACTGTGGGGTCCTGTAAAATCCAAATGAGTACTATCTTATTTCAAAGAAGAAGACTTGGGCACTCTTAAGCAAAACCAATGTCCAACAAAGAAGCTCAAAACTGGAAATCTGGGATTCACTCATTGTCTCCTGGGCTTCAATGTGTTTTGGCAGCTCTACATCTCTGATGCTGCCATTCACAGCACATACAGTTCATCCTGAAAACACAGGCCTACTCCATTCCGCAACTGCTGCTGCCCTTGGTGGTCATCCCATGATCCTGTCATCTCACAAAAGCTGGGAGTCTCCAGTGAAACTGGGGCTGCACCTTCACCAATAACCTCTTCTGGCCTCTCAGGATCCAAAGCCTCAGATTATCTCCAGGACCCCTTCAATCCTGGGGTATTTACTGAAACTGAGGCTGCCCTTTCACAAATGGCCTTTCCTGGCCACTCAGGGTGCCAAGTCTCAGCTGCTTTCTGTGACCCCCTTCATGCTTTCAAACACCAGAAGAATGCAGGAAATTTACACATTACCAAGTCCTGCTTCCAGCTTGAGATAGAGGCTCAGGCCTCGTCTTTCTGTGCTGACCCTGAGGAAATACTTCCCAGAAGATCTTGAAACAGTGATGTTGGTCTCTTGTTATTTACAGCTGATTTTTCAGCCCTAGATATCCAGCATCAATTGTTCCAATAAAGTAAAGGTTTCACTTTTCTGGTTCTGTTTCTTCTCAATCACAGCTCATTTTTCAGCCCCAGCTGAGCAGAAACCACAGGTTCTCAAAATATTCCATAAACAGCCTGATAGTCTCCCCTTCCCTTTGAAGCTTCACAAGCCAGGCCTCCATCATTTACAAATAGCTCAGAATAGCTGTTCCAAGCTTAACAGCAACAAACTAAGCATTCAATTACTATTCCAGCCCAAAGTTCCAAACACGTCCATAATCCTCCTATAAACACCAAGGTTGTGTCTGTCACAGTAATGCTCCACTCTCTGGTACCAATATTTGTTCTAGTTTGTTTCTCCATTTCTGTGACAAAACACTCTGAACAATGCCAACTTGGGGGAGGAAAGGGTTTATTTGGTTTATAGATCCTGGGTCACCATTCATCAGGGAGCCAAAGGTAGGCACTCAGGGCAGGAACCTGGAGGCAGGAGTTGGAGCACAGGCCATGGAAGAATGCTGCTTACTGGTTTGACCACCCCTGTCTCCTGTTCAACCTACTTTCTTGTACAAAATAAGCCCACCTGCCCAAGCCAGGGGTGGCACTACCCACAGTGGGTTGAGCCCTCCCATATCACTCAATAATAAAGAAGATGCCCCACATACATGGCCACAGACCAGTCCAATGGAGGCAACTCACCAATTGAGGTTCTCTCTACCAAGGTGTGACAAGTTGACAACTAAAGCCATCTAGCACAATGAATATTTACTTCTTATTGACAAAGTTAAATTTTAAGATTGGGAAGATCAATTTGACTATGGTTGCTCATACCTGAAATCATACCTCTTTGAGGGCTGAGTCAGCAAGATTGGCCAAAAATTTGAGATAAGTCTGGGCTATAGGTTTTGATTTTGTTCTGAAAAAATAAAATAATTAAATTAAATTAAATAATTAAAATAAATAAAAACAGGGAATGGAGAAATGAAGCAATGGTAAAGAGTTCTTTCAGTTGAGTTGAGCTCACTTTCCAGCATCCACACGGGGTACCTCACAACTTCCTGGAGTTCCAGCTCCAGGGAATACAAAACCCCCTTCTTGTCTCTTCGGGGACCTACACAGATGTGACTTATATTCACATAGATACACGGACACAGACACAGACACAGACAAACAGACATATACACACACAAAAACACATCACACACAAACACAAGCATATATATATAGAAAATATGCATTTTAATTGATAAAAATAAAATAATAAAAAGACCAACTTTACTATTTACCTTCATTTGTAAATTAATATGGGACAAAATTAGGAATTTCATCAAATATAGTATTATCTACTTAAGCAGATATAAGTCATATGGGCATCAGAGTTGATCAAAAAGCCTCATCTTTGACCAGAGGTAATAGCGCTTGTTTTCAGTCTCAGCACTAAGGAAAGAGAGGCAGGCGTTCTCTGGGTTGAGGCCAGCATGGTCCACAAAGTGAGCTCCTGGCCAGGCAGACCTAAATAATGAATCCCTACTCTTTTTTTTTTTTTTTTTAAGTTTTCACTCTGGTAATAGAAAGTTAAATATCTTTAACCTTGCATTAGGGTTTTAGATTTAACAGCTTCAGTTATCATCACTAAATATATAAAATTTACTCAGTAATAAAATATAGGAAATACTTTGGACAGTAAACCACATTTATTTGACCAAATATTATTTTCTAAAAGATAAAAACATGACTGTTATAAAATTATGACAAGAAAATAGGTTGAAAATTATTATCTCAATGATAAAGCCAATAAAATGATAAAGCTGATTCCAAGCACACTTTTAAAAAGTAGACACTAATAGTTATTTTGAAGAAATATTAACACATAATGCTCAATAATATGACTTAGCAATAAAACTAGCAAATTGCTACAAGTCAGCATAATCAAGAACTCTGAAATGATCTTTTTTGTTACACAAACCTGTCCTGAAAGCATTAGGTACTGTCCATAGGTAAGCCCAAAATATTTTAAACTAAGAAAATGCATTCTTCTAGAAAATAAAATATTCTACATTGTATATTTAATATTTTATTTTATATATTACTTTCCTTATGTGTATGAGTGTATTACTTGAATATAAGTAGGTGCACCCATGTCATCCAATGCCCACAGAGGTCAAAAGAGGGCGTTGATGACCTTGGAACTGGATTTAAAGACAGTTGTTTGCCACTATGTGGGTGCTGAATATTGAACGCAGGTCGTCTGCAAGAGCAGCCAATGTTCTTAACTGCTGAGTTTTCTCAAGTCCCTCTACATGTTATATTTTAAAGTAACACACAGAGTGATAATGAAAAACATTACATTTATTCTGCATCATTTTCAAAATTTGACCCCTTGTATATAAAAATGTGTTGTCTACAGTAAAATATTATATAGGACTGATTATCTTGATTATAAATATAAAGTTAGTGAAGTAATGTAACATATTTACATATTTACATATTTATGTTATTTTATTAACAAGGTTAGGATATTTGTATTATTTTGTTGGATGTTTTTGAAGTACGGTATTTAATGGCTTGGTATGGTAACACAGCTTTCTATATAGTCTATGATTATCTTGAATTTATAATACTTTTGCCTTTAATATCAAATCGAGGGTTACATTAGCGGAGCCTTTGCTGGGTTCCGTGAATCCAGGAAGCACATTCCTTGCCAGTTTCAGGTTTGGCTTTGACTCTTATTTCTAAACTTTAAACTCCTTCCTTTTTCTGCCCTCCTAAATGTCACAACATATGTAAGACACCTAAAGCAAATTCAGTGGAGCCTATGATTAAAGCTGAAATAATATGAATGTAATGCCTTATGTGAAAAAGTATATAATCTTAAGTACTTAATAATTGTATCTTTATTAGACAAAAAGGCAATCTGTATGAGATTGTGATTCATAATGACATAATTCCATACTCTAAACACTCATTTCTCATAATTCTGGAACATGAGAGCTCTAAGTTTAAGGCATAAACTTATGTATCACATCCATCTTCTGCTATAAAATCACATGATGAAAACTGAGTGATATAAAGACAGGATAGTAGCAGGAAAACCATGAAAGTCACAAATGGGGAGGAAAAGGAAAGAAGAATGAGAGAGAGTTAACTCATATCTCCAACACTTTAATTGCTGAGTCATCACTGCAGTTGCCAGTACTCATTCTATAAGGGCAGTAAACTTAACCACAAGGGTTCCAAAGAGGTCATTGCCCGCTACTTTCTCACTGAAAATCAGGATTTCAAGATAGAAGTTTTAGGAAGATACAAAGATTCATTCAACATCAAAAATTTTCAAGGATCAAGCATCTGTGTTTATATTCAAAATTATCACTGATGTGTAAAAGTATTAGGTGTTAGAAGATGGGACAAATTTTTCTGATTAATATTTTTCAATCAAAAATAGCTTAAAAACCGCACAAAATTTTCAACATAAAAATGTAAAAAGGATTCATCACTATAGATAAGTATTTACATAGAAGAGAAAACATTTCACAGGAATTTTTATATATCAAACAGACACAGGAAATGGAGAATAACTGGAAATCTACCAGGTATGAGAACACTCAGCCCACTCCCATTGACTTAATTCCTCCAGCAAGATCACACCTTCTAAAACATCCCAAAAGAGCACTACCATGAACAAGATGTTCAAATATTTGGAGCCTATGGGGGACATTCTCATTGAAACTCCCATATATGTATGTATATGTCCTTAAAGAATAAAAAGATGATGGTTTACTCACATTAAACTACAAACCCACTTTCTTTTATATATATTGTTTATAATTCCTCTTCAACAACATTAATTTTTTAAAATGCAGTATCTAAAGCATGAGAAAATGAGGGGGCTAGAGAAATAGCTCAGCAGTTAAGTGCACTTGCTGCTTTTCCAGAGAATCTTAATTTGAATCCCAGCACCACTTTGAATGGCTCAAAACTACCTAAAACTATATTTCCATGTAATCTGACACCCTCATTTGGCCTCTGCAGTTACCCACATACAGTGTGGCAGACACTCACACAGAAACACACACATACACATTAATAAAAACTAAAAACAACTTAGGTCTGAAAACAGCAATGAAAGTGATTAATTCAGCTTTTATTTCAGCAGCACGTATACTAAAATTGAAATGATAGAAAAAAGATTAGCATAACTCCTATCCAAGGATGATATACAAATTCATGAAGCATTCCATATATATGACTTATGAAAAGACTGAAATTATTAATTATGGGCATAGAAATGGAGAAGACTGTCAGGGCAAGGAATAGAAGATATTAGAGGTCAAAGAAAATCTAAAGAAACTTAGGATAATAAAAATACTCTGTATTGCATCTGACCACAAGGGAGTAAAGCTGGATATCAAAAATAGAATGAGAAAAAGTATGCAAACTCATGGAAAGTAAATAACATACTACAGAATGAAAATTGAATCCTTAGAAAAACTGAGAAAAAAATTAAAATTCCTAGAATTATATGAAAATTAGAACTGAACATACCAAATGCAAAGGGACACAATGAAGTCAGTCTTTAGAGGAAAGATTAAAGGGCTAAGTTACCACGTTAAAAAAAATTAAACCACAGAAAACCAAGAACAAACAATTAACAATTCAAAAAAAGAGTAGATAGGATGACAGAGTTAAAATCAGGGTTGAAATTAATGAAATGGAATCAAAATCCAACAAAATTACTGAATGAAATGACGTTTTGGTTATTTAAAAAGATTATATTAACAAGATTGATAAACATTTAGTGAAATTAACAAGTATAAAAAGATTGAGACGCAAATGAATAAAAATAAAATCAGAAATGAAAAGGAAAACATTAGACAAGATTGTGAGGAATTTTAGAAAATCACACAGTAAAAACCAACATTCTATTAAACTAGAAAATCTAAAAGAAAGAGATGAAATTTTAGATAGAAATGACCTTACAAAATTCATTCAACAGGAAATGAATAATTTAACTAGAGCCATAACAACCAATGAGATAAGAGCAGTAATATAAAAAATAATAATAAATAAAAATAATCCCAACTGAAAAAAAGCACACGACCGATTGGGTACAGCACAGAACTACACCATGATCTCATCTGTTTCATCCTTGAGATGTAGGGATGGTTCAACATATGAAAATCAGTAAATGTGATGTACCACATAAACAGACTCAAGCACAGAAACCACATGATCATTTCATTAAATATAGAAAAGTTATTGACAAAATCTACCATCCATTTATGATAAAATTCATGATGAATCTAATGATTCACAGAAAAAAATCTCAAAATAATAAAGGCAATATAAAACAAGCCCACAGCCAACATCACACTAAATGTGTGATGATCAAATTATTCCATTAAAACCAGAAAAAGCCTAGTGTGATCACTCTATGCATGCCTAATCAATACAGTGTTTGAAGTCTTAGCTAGTACAGCAAGACAAGTGGAGACAAGTTGATGAAATGTAAAGTAGTCAAAGTCTACTGCATTGCATCTGTACTTTCAGAAGGTATGATTCTATACATCAAAATCTAATGTATATTGAAGAATACTCACAGAGCTGATAAACACATTCAATAAAGTAGGAGTATATAAAATCAACACATAGAAATCTGTGTCTTCCAATACCAACAGCAAACACACTGAGAAAGAAACCAGGGAAATGATCCATTCATCATTGCCTAAAAAAAAGAATAATCTTGCAAAAAAAACTAGCCAAGTAAATGAAAGATATGTAACAGGTTTACTAAGGGAGAAATTATTTAAAAATGGAGTTATTTACAAGGAATATTAGAGATAAAGGGAAAAAATAGCTCAAGAGAGGTAGGCCCATTGGTGATGGGTGTTATCAAAGGAGAAATGAGGAAAATGGGGAACTTTAAATGGGGAAAGCATGGTAGAAGGATTAGACAGTGTGTGGGGGAGAGAGAGAGCAAGAGACAGAGAGAGAGAGAGAGAGAGAGAGAGAGAGAGAGAGAGAGAGAGAAGAGAGAAATAATACCTAGTGAGTTTTAAAAAAACAGAGGGAACCATATTAGTCCAACAACCTAGTGATAAATTATACATACATTATCTCTACATGAAAACATGTATATAGCTAAAGGCTACATAACAAGAAATAGTGCCAGACAGGAGATACCTTCCTATGAGTTGTTGGCCAGGGTGGTACAAGAGACTCCCTAAATTACTCAGCCTATTGTCATAGCCATTGATGGCCTCCAAGAACTTGAAGGTAAGACCCTACTGCTGAAGACAGAGCATATTTCAGACATAGAATTTGGACCAATAGAGCTGCATCGGACATGCAACCACTTCCCCTGAAGGCTAGGTCTCATAACTTTGGAGAATGTTATGAAGGTACCAAAGAAAAACATCAGTGGATGATCCAACACAGCTTCAAGACTAAAAAACCACGTGAATGGCCACAGCATACGTCATTGGTGCAGTAGTGGCACTCTTATCTTGGGGGCAATTTACAGCTACCTAATTTGACTAAACGCCCACTCAAAGAAAGGAAACTCAAGTGTGGTACTATAAACATAACTTAATACACATGGCTGGAGTGGTCATAGATCTTAAAGAAAACCCCAAGACTGTCACATAGCTAGATTAATGTGATTTATTACTATGTGCAAAGTATGTATTCTTATATATTACAGACAAATATCCCAGTCACTTCATCAAAGAGGCTCATTTAGCACCAGTCAGACTATTACCAAGTAACACAATGGGTCACACACAGACATTAGAATATACCCAGTCCTAAGTGATACATTTACAATGCAACCTCTACACCTAAGGCTCATGGAAGATAGAATAGGGATAACGAAGAGGACACTAATGAATCTTTCAGTTCTCAATAATGAAGCTTCCTCATGCAACGGAGAATCAGGAACATAAAAGGTCACAAATACCTAAAGTGTAGAGATCAAAAGATTTTTGAATGCTGGTCCTTTGAGAGGATCCCTTTATTAAACTTCTCCCACCCAAGGCTAAGGCACCATCATGGAACAGGGGGCAGAAAGATTGTAAGAGCCAGGGAGGAGGTGCATAACCATATGGAAAGAGTCCTATAAGCTCCTGGGAACCTGCTTATATGTTTCTATAGCAATGGTGTCAGAATACACAAGTCCCATGCAAACTCAGGCAAAAAATAACCCAGCATAGAACTAGAAAATGAACAGCAGACCTTAATCTTATTTGAAGGAATGTTGGCTGTCCCGAACCCACGGGATCTTCCCAGTTGTACTCTAAGGGAGGAATCTACTGATTAACAGAAAACAGGGCAGTTCACTGGAAAAGAGTACAAGGCCGTGGGCTAAGGCTGCGGGCCAAGGCCGCGGGAGGAGAGTGGGTAGAATGGAAAGTTACCAGCTTAGGTCTGTTCAGCAGTTTTGAGAAGTGGCTGAGCCTCAGGCTCCCAACAGATCCCCCTTTTTGACTCTATAGAATTTACGGACCAAAGGTTGCTAGACCCCTAGGGAACTGCACCTTAGGTTGGAGTATCTTTCCCCAAGGGCTTACCCATCATTGGATAAGGTATTAGCATTAGACTACCCTCCTGTCTTAGGTTGCCATCAAAGGGGGATTCTCACATACCCGTCATTGACTGTCCAGTTCATCTCTCAAGGGGGATGGCTAGTAGCGCCATCATAGCAATGCGTCCCTTCGCATTCTTGATCCAAAATATCAAGGCGATGACAATGGACCTGAATTGCTTTCACCTGAAATGCCTCCACCTGCTGTTTAAAAAAAGACTGTAAGCCTTTTTACTAACAGTGGTCCTAGCGTAAGAAGGAGCAGGAGGAGGAGAAGGGATGGAATCATGGAGGGGATCCATGGAAGGGGAAATCCAGCCATCTAGAAGGATTTTGATTAAAATGATGCAGTTTGTAACTGATGGTCTGCAGGGTCTCTATATTTTGTTCCACTAATCCAGATTCATTGACGTAGAAACAGCACTCCTCCTATAAGAAAAGGCAAGTTCCCCCTTTTTCAGCAGTGATAAGATCAAGGGTTCTACAATTTTGAAGGGCAACTTGTGCCAGGGAAGTCAGCTGGTGTTGCAAGGATGCAAGGCTACTGGCCGTGGATTCTATAACTTGCTGTAGTTGGGAGTTGAATTCCTTTGCGGTATAGAGAGTATGTCCCAGGGCCCCCGCAGAAAGGCTGGCAGAGGTGGTAAATCCTATCCTGATTACAAAAGGGATGAATACCCCTCTCTTAATATGTGGGCGGAGTAGCCAGGCGAACTCCCCTGGTGAATACATGGTCAATTGGGGTACAATAGTAATTAATACACAGGGTCCTGGAGAGGAAATAGTGATCTGTTGATACAGGGATTCATTGCACCAGAAAGATGTAAGAGGAGGAATTAACAGATGAACTGACAGAATAATTACTGCGATACACAAAGGAGGGGGGAGTGTAGGTGGTAGTGATATAACAGAGGGAAATATTTTGAGTAGGATTACAAAGTAAAGGGATAGACGACATGGGGGGAGAAGGTGCAGTGCCAGCGGTAATGATGTTGGGTGCAGCAGAATATTTAACAGGGACAGTGGCTAGTAAGGGGTGAACCAAAGAGGCACATAACAAGCCTGATGAAGCATTGATATTAGAAAGGTTTAACAATTTTAAAGCAAAATTTAGATAATTGGGCCAAAGGGCAAGATTAAAGGTGGAATTTGTATGTATGGCAGACTGAAGTTTAGTCTCACTCAGAATGATAATCTGTCTTGTTTGATTATCAGTAGTAGCAGGGACCAGCTGGCGGGAAATAAATAGATACCCCACCAGGAGTGAGGAGTACCCATCATTATAAATTTTTCCTCTAACTCCATTTTGCCACCTGACGTCCCAAGGGTCATCTATACGAATTGTGAATCGACCATCGTCATAACTCAATATGCCATTTTTGCTGTAAGCATCATGAAGGTGGCAAGCCCAATATCTACATCTGCCATATATGATACTAGCTGTGAGACAACTGCCTCTATTATCATAAGTGAAACATGCATAAGGTCTCAATTTAGAGGATAAAATAGATGGGGTGATTGGAATGACAACGGTTGTTTGGCAACCCTCCACTGGACAGCAGACAGTGCCAATGGTTTGGATGTTGTCATCAGAGTGTATGTCTCCCTCTTTAACCTGGAATTCCCACTGTAACACTGTCTGCGACCAAACGGGACCAATCAGGA